AATTCCGAAGCGTATCTTCATCACTATTGCATGACAAATTGTGAAATAATTTATTAATGAGGATGTCGGGTAAAATTTGCCCAGCCACATCTGTTTCACAATGTATAAGTTTGACAATCCAGAGAGTAAAATCAACCTCCCTTTTACGGAAAAACTTTGTATATTTATCTTACCGTAAACCACTTTTGTAAATATTACACATTTATGACTGATATTCTGCACACTTGTTTCATGCAAACATCGAATTTAGTTTTTTACGATTTTGATTTTGATATTTCAATTTTGTATTTGCTATTTAGTCGTCTCTTTACTGCTGAGTCCAGGAAACCTCAATAATTAACGCTCATGATGAGATTAGTTCTATACTCTTAGCAATTGTCAGTATTTAGTACGTTTGAATTATGATCAACAAATTCCTGTTTAGTTGTGGAGTTTACTAGATTTTGACGCTTTTTGTTTGAGGCTGCGATGCAGTCGAAAATTCACATATTAATCGTCTACGACTTAACTCATTCTGTTCAACCTAAAGATCGTTTGGACGGCTCCAATTTGTGTCGAATTTCTAAATTTGATTGCTTTGATGGGATATTTTATATACGTTATTTCTGACATAACAGGTTCGTTGATTTTATTGCATTTTTGACCGCCTTGAAGTAATCGAACAAATTGTTTCAGACCTTAGAATGAACCACAAATACTCGATAAAATCTCAAAGAAATAAGTTGAGAGAGGACCCCTGAGCAATAATAGTTCAGTCTCCATTTGATTCATTAATGCAAATTTTGAGACAAAACGAATCTCGCTAATGAAAAGTGTTGAAAAAGTTCTTAGACTTAGGGATAGAATTAAGTTATCAGACGTTCTAGTTGAAATTTAGTTAGAATGATTAGAGTAAAAAGTTTTAGGCGTGAAAGATGGTCTAGGTGAGGTTAAAGGAAATCCAGAATTTATGACTGCTTGTAGTACATATTTGGAAAAATCGCCCGTTGTTCTCAAAGGTATGTGGCTATGTAATGTAAAGAGTACTCTGCGCATAACTTTGAGGATTCTTCATTTGGTCAGAATATATATTGTGAAATTTGGTGGATAGCCTCGTTAGTATCACTAGTTTATCAGTCAAATCACCAGTGTCATCGAGTGCAAATTATCCTCAAAATGGAGGTTTATAGAAATTGTAGTAGTTTTAGTAGTTGAATTCATGAGTCGATCTAAGCTAGACCACCACTGAAAGCCTGGAGGTACTGAACGGCTGTTTTGTCCTGGTGTGGGACTTCTCAGCAGTGCACATACACGGTCGTCCAGTTCTTCCAGGTTTTCAGTGGTGTTCTAGTCTAGGTGGCCTCACGAATTCAACTATCAAAATGCAAATTATTCGTTAAACTTGGAATGTCGTCACATCTTTTATGCTACTGCAAGTGAAAGGCCACGGAAGCATTTATTTCTTTACTCTGTAAATCGGGTTCACCACAAATATAGCGATCGAGTCGATGATTGTGCAAGTCGGGCTTAGGCTGTGACAAACAAATAACAAGGTAAGTTCAGATCCGTATTCACTGAAGAAGGTAAACGATATACAAACTTTCTGGAAAGTCTATTGGTCGTGCCTCAAATAAGTTCGGCTACAATGCATCTAAAGTCATGTTCTATTACAACCAGAATTTCGGGTAGTGTGGGTGGAAGAGCTACCAGTTGATTATGATACGTTTGCAGCTGAAAGTGAAGCTATCAACTGTTAGTGAAATCATCCTGCCAGCCCGTTGGTTCATAGGTAGTAGGCAGGTTCTCCAGAATCTTCTGATGCCTAAGAGTGTGGTTAGACAGATGAAACGTTATATGGAAACTTACCACTACGTGAAATCGTCAGTACATGCCAAGGAATAAGTGTATGCAATTGATTATTGTAAAGGTCCTATTAAGTCATAATGAACGTGGCCGAAAAGAGAGTGAGAATTTGAAAGATTGGCTAAGGGACATTGTTCGTCTGATAAAAATCAGACTTTGACGGCTTACACGAGGCAGTGGAGATTTCCTTACCATTAAAATATCTATCAGTTGATAAGAATACTCCGGAACATACACAAAATCATCTAGGAAATCAGTTCTGAAATCCAGGGCCATAACTTATGAAGAGGAATTTAAACCACTGAATAGTTGCTTGATAAAGTATGAGCACTTTACAGGTAACCTTTTATAGACCTATAGCACTCCAAACTCTTCTGGCGATCCTCCAAAATACTTAGTGAAGTTCAGTTCTAACTCAAACCTTAAAAATTATATAAGAAAACTAGAGGTAAAACCAACCTGAGTTTTATGGGTATTCAAGCTCTGAAATTCGCTACCAGCTGAGCTGGTAAAAGTGACTTTCCGTAAGTTCTTCAGGGAGAAACTTGACATTCTTGAGAGTTTCTCCAGACGGTTGCTAGACACCGAATCGAGGTACAGCACATTCGATAGGGAACTCCTAGCTGTGTATTGTACTGTATTGCATTTTCAACACAATATCGAAGGCCGTGAATTCATCCTTTTCACTGATCATAAGCCTCTTACTTTCTCCTTAAGCTCCTCTTCAGACAAGTAATCACCACGTGAGTCTCGACAACTGGATTACATTTCGCAGTTTACTTCAGATATTCAACACATTTCTGGAGCAAACAATGTAGTCACAGGCGCCTTGTCTCGAACAAATTTCTTGAACAGTTTCCAAGTAATCGACCTTCTTAAACTCGCCGAGCTTCAAAAAGAAGACACTGATCTTCAGCACGAGTCATCGTCTACAACCCTCAAGCTACGCATCAAACAGATGGGAACAGGTAAGGAAACCTTACTTTTTGACATATCTACAGGTAGGGATCGCCCAACCGTGCCGAAACATTATCGGCTTTGCTGGCCTGGTGTGAATAAAGACATGTGAGAGTGGGCACGCACCTGTGTAAGCTGCCAGAAATCTAAAGTTATCAGACACAATAAATGTCCCTTAGGCTCATTTAAAACTCACGATGCTCATTTCGACCATGTTCATCTGGATTCGGCAGGACCTTTACCAGATTCAAATGGATACTCTTATCTCTTAACCTGCGTTGACCGTTTCAACCGATGACCATAAGCAGTACCTACAAAGGACATCACTGCTGAAACAGTGGCCCGCGCCTTCGTTAAACGATGGGTAGCAAACTTCGGCTGCCCTTCAACCATCACTACAGATCGCGGACATCAGTTCGAATCTGAACTTTTTCGTTGTCTGACTACACTTTTAAGAATCACTCGCTTCTGAACGACTGCCTATCACCCACAAGCAAACGGGTTGGTAGAACGCTTTCACCGACAACTAAAATCTTCACTATCAGCTGAAAACGTTTCGCGATGGACCAATGCTCTTCCACTCGTCATACCAGGTATTCGCAATGCAGTGACAGCTGACATGGGATACACTGCGGCTCAACTCGTTTGTGAAACAACACTTCGACTTCCAGAGTAATTTGTGGATCCTCCATCCTCTTCAATGAACATGGATCTAACCTCCTACACGAACAGGCTTACAAACACAATGCGTTCAGTTAAACCTGTTTCCATTCGACCGCAATCAACTGATGTTTTCGTTCAACATGACCTACGATATAGTACACACGTCCTCGTTCGTTGAGACTCATATCGACAACCTTCCGAATCGGCATATGAAGGACCTTTCGAAGTTCTTCGACGCGAACCTAAGTAGTATGTAGTCAATAAGAACGGAACCAACGATAGTATCAGCATCGATTGCCTCAAAGTAGCGTATTTTGAACGCAATTTTATCCACATCGATTTTCCTTCGGTACAGTCGGACGACACGACTACCACGCTTATACTGCCTTGACTGACAGACAACACACACGATGATACTTCGGCAGTATCTAGAACTAAACTTAAAACAACGCGTTCTGGAAGAAGAGTACGATTTCCAGAACATCTTAACAATTATTGCACGTAAGATACTGGTTGACATTTTATATCGTCTCGATTTTCCTTTGTACTATATATAATTTAAGAGAAAAACCCATTTTAATATGCTTAAATATTTATATTTTTGTTTCAAAAAACAAAACAACAAAACAAAAACCCATATTATGAAAATCCTTCATTTACGTTATTACGTGTGCATGAATTTATTTTCCATTTTTTCGCCCACTTTGTGTTTTTACGCGCGTAAAAGCGTATTTCGACATGTACTAACATATTTTATTTTCCAGGACGGCTGGAAAACAGCGATGAAGTTTACGAGGAATCGAAATTTTCATTGTACTTTTTCCTTTTTTACTGTATTGTACTTAATAGTCCCCTACAGTAGGGAAAGACGATCAGATGCTGTTAAACCTAGCAACCTATCAGAAGAGTGTTTACCAACGACAAACTCGTTGAGTTTAAACTTCTGGCTGGTCACGTCTTAAGGTCGTCTCAACCCCACTAGGGGGGTAGTGATCTGTAGCGGTAATAAATCTTCAAAATAAATAGCTCTGTAAGTTTTCGGCATTGGATGCTGACCACATTAGTTTTAATGGACTCACCTAGCTGAAGGTGCTCGGTCATGCATCTTCACCAGATCACGAGTGGGAACGCCATGCTCAACAACCCCTGCAATCACTAGCCAGATTAGATCAGAAGATCCTCGATATATTGCTAGCCTATCAAATATATCTTCAAATCTCCTCGCTTCTGTCTTTTGATTTCAGTTGTTGGGTACGCTTCATATTGAGTGTTACTGGTTGAAGCGTTGTCAAACTCCGAATACTTGCATCTTCAAGTTAGACAAATATATTAGCCTTCAGTAATAAGGATAGTGGGTTGGTGAACCTGTCTCACCTGCATGCTAGAAATGCCTAAATTCCTACCTCAGGGGTCGTTTATCTGCTGCCAATAGACCCGGAAACCTTTGAAGTAAAAGCTTCTTTTATCCCGTTCACAACCATTTGAATCATCAGAACTTGCTTCGTCCTTCTGTTTCGGGGAGAAATATAGTAAGAATTATGTTTACCTATGGCCAAGAACCTTCCTCTACTATTCGAAAGCAGAGTAAACAGTTCGTCAACTCATCCTAGAAAACTTGAAATCACGAAATTGGGGTTTGGAATTTGAAACGTCCTTCTATGGCTCGTTGCTTGAAATTTTACCTTGTCGTTAAAAGGTGTCAAGTGTTCGAATCATAAGAAGATATATTTGGTATGTTCATTGTTAAGGGTAGATTTTTAGCTCAAAGTATACTATACTGACACCACTGAGTGAACCAATTAGAATGAACACAACCCTTTGTGAATTCTGACACGAAATTAAAGGCTCACCTAAGCAACCGAAAAACAGGAAATAATGGTAAGCAGGGGGAAATAAAAGGAAAATGTCATAAGAAAATAAAAAGAAATGCGTCGAAAAATCTGTTCTGCTATGAGGAAATATTGCGGAAATTTCCCTTTTTGTTCTGTGTTTGAAATATCGCCTAAAATTACGCTAAGTTGTGTGATTTTCGTCTGACCTCAAATGTCTCCTATTTTCGCCCTCAATTTAATTACTAAAAAAATGCCTAGACTCAGTCAACTGTAATAAAATACTGCATGTGTGTTCAAATTCATTGACAAGAATTATCATTTTACAAGGAGATTAATAACAGACACATGCTAGCCATACATTTTCGTTGTAAGTTCAAAGTTCCACTGTCATTTAAGAAGAAGGTACAAGTAATGCGTTATTTAATAAGAATGTATTAGTTGTTAAGTGCACATGAAGTCGTTTACGTGTGACGTAAATCACTCACTACATATGCTTAGTTTCGATGTAGCACATGTAGTAAAAAAGTAAGTACATAGTAAGGATTATCATCCACTAATCACATCAATATGTTCATTTTAAATGTTAAGTATTCCAATGTATTTAGTAGACTTAAAAAGTTTTCCCTAATGTGCTCTTGCTGAAGACATCAAGTTCCTCTTGAGATGACAAAGAAGACTGCAAACTTAATAACTCAGTGTCGTTTCCGTTGGTGATCACTCTGGACAGACCTAGACACCAGCTGAATAATGTTCGCACTGAAGTCTGATATTCTTGATATGTTCTACAGAGCAGCATGTGATTTTTCAATCTCAAGTATTAACTCTAATCTAATTACAAATGAGACTTACTCAGAAGCTGACGCACTTCCAATTCGCTTTGACACGGACGTTGAGGGCGACGCTTCTAGTTTTGTGGAACTCGTTTATTAACATTTATGAATGAATCACGCCTACTTTGCCGTTAATGATACCGTGGTGTCTAGTAACCCGAATTTCGGGTGTTAAATGTAGCTGTTTCCATCCTGCATTTCAGCCACGTCACCGGAATAGTACATTCATGCACTCACAGTGTATGTTTCAATCAACTAAGTAAAGACTGGCAATATTTACTCTTTAAGGTGCTTAAAATTGATAAAATTACCTACCGTGCAACATGAGGTTTAAATCTCTTTATGTCTTTCTTTCTACGAACTAATTCTTTTTTCCTGTACTATATCCTTATACAAAATCTTTCTTTTATGTACTACCACCGTTGAATTAACTGCTATGAATCTGGTGTTCATCTAGATGTGCTAACTAGGTATGGCAACTTGGATCGATGCATATATGTGCCTGGTCCTACGTTGTAGCTGTAAATTACAAGGGAGACCTGTTCCTGATTAATTTTTTGTTTACGTGATGTGATTCAACGGGTAGGCGGGGATTTTTTGTTGCTAGGCCGTGTTCTCTCAATCTAATTACTGACTTTAAATCTCGGCTTCAAGTTTTCTGAGTTTGTACACAAAAGTGTGGCAGAACAACATTGGATTATAACTGGACAAACAGAATATCCGCCGCAAACAGGTTTTCAAATCGATTCACTCAATTTTGTTACTTGTCACCCGAAGCAGTCGTGTCCTCACCTTCACTTGACGCATTCAATAGAAAAATAGGCACTCACAGAAGCTTGGTAGAAAAGGACTAACACAGGCCATCGATCTTCCGTTTTAAATACATAAATCTGCATCTGATATCAGTTTTTGTTGAACACCCTAAACCTGGTTCGTAATCCTAATACATAACTCCAGTTTAACTCCTTTTACTTAACTCTAACCTTTTTGTATCACAGCTGATATCAGTTGGTGATGAAAACGCTGTGTAGTTGCAACCGTAACTGATATCACCATCCCATTTGGGCTTGCCGAACTCGGTCGATTATTTTCTACAGCCCTTTCAGCCTATTACTTATCGTTTTTTGGAATACATTGGTGTACTCTCATAAAAGATTTCTTTTAGGGTTATATTGGAAATGTGACTGAAAGTTATTAGGTACTACACCCAATATGCGTTTGTCTTCCCTGTCGTTTTAGGAGGGAATAATCCTGATTTTATTATTTATTTAGGACTTTTCAAGCCCTTATTTTCGTACCTCAATATTCTGGCTAACTCCACAATGCTTGTCAGTTCACTCTTTGCGGAGTCTCAAATATTTAAATGTAAAAGGTATGGTCCAGATCAACATGGAACTCATAAGGTACTCACAGAATCTCCTAAATGTTTACAAACGTCATCAGGCAATATCTTCAAATCAGTTGGGATACTATTGCAAACTTGTTGAGTATGAATTAATTAGAGAGGTTATCCTTGATTTGGCATATGAATACGAACTTAACCTGTTGACCAGCTATGAAAGTGATCTTTATTGTACAGTGGCTAGGATATGGACTGAATGTCATGTTTCTAAAGGAATAGAAGAAACATGTTTTTACAGTAAAGAAGAACATGAAAATAAAATTATGGATGATATCCTTTCGATATTGCATACACGGATGGAAAAGAAGCTAAATGAAAGACTGGGATTGTTCAGTGACCACAACCAAGGTTAGCCGCAATTTTTTCGTAATATATTTCTTTCAGATCAATCTGAGAGCAATTATTCAGTTGGAGTTGAAAAGCTTCAAATAGGAAAACTGAACTTGCTACAGAACTTAGAAGGTTACAGGCATCATTCACAGAAGTATGTAATTAAAATCATTAGTTTTCTTGTAATTTTGAGACCTACTTTTTTCAATAGTTTAAATCATAAGTCAATTGAAGCTAAACCACCGTGGAAAACATGGAAGCACTGGACGGCCGTTCCGTCCTAGTATAGGACTCCTCAGCAGTGCGCATCCACGACCCCGCACCCCGCGTGATTCTAATCCAGGACCTATTTGTCTCGCGCGCGAGCGCTTAACCATTAGACCACTGAGTCGGCACCCAACGGTGTTAATGTCTAACTTCAACCAATCCACGAAATTGCACCACCGTACACCATTGTCTTCAGTGAGCTGATATCTCACAACAGACCTGGTTGAACTCCACTGGTCACGGCTTCTCACTAGAACTCTAGGAGTGTATCTTGAAGTCAGTCACTAGTGAGCAGATGATTATTATCAAAAGGGGTTTTGTGGGGATTTTAGTATTTCCAATAGTTAAAATCATGAATCAATTGAAGCTAAACCACCATGGATAACTTTTTATTGGATACTTTTTGCACTAAGTCCAGCATACCCATCGATCCAACCAAAAATCGAGTAGCGTAAAACCAAAAATCTTGCAAACTAATCCTCATATCAATATTCGGTACCTTGTCGAAAGCTAAACTAAGTACTACCCTCTCTTCCTAATTTGCTCCCTTAATTTCCACTTTCGTGTCACGTCACCATTCTTTAGGAAATAAGTCATTTTCGAATCTTTCATCTCCTGTTATCTTAAAACTTCTGTTATTATTGTTACGATTACAACTGTAACCGCTGTTATTATTAAACTATGATTCAGACCATGTAGATGCCAAAACATGTTACACAAGAGGGAGTGGGTTAATATTAAAATGATATTATAGAGATATATAAATAATGTTGATGTGAAAAAATGTGAAAACGGGTACACAGAAATTTTTTGACTGTTATAGGTTCGAATAAAACAGTAGTATCTTCAACTCCATCCACACTGGGTTCGACTTCGAATCCAATGTTTTTTGGGACCTCGCGTCAAGAGTTGAAATATGCCAACAGGCTCATTTCCAACTCGCCTGTCATCCAATTTAGTATTAGGTTATAAATTCGCAACTTTTTCTAATGGTACTGAATTATTATCGATACAGAGCCCATTAGAATAATTGCTTCCATTTATTAGGCCGATAAAACCATCAACATTAGTACTGTTTCTTTTTCTGCTTATTCTTTTTGATTGGGACTGTCATTCACCTATACGTACCTCCCGCGGTAATCACATTCTATCGACGGAAATAATCTCTGTTTCTAAGTTATCACATGCATTTTGATACCTCTATATGTCACTTGGCTGTCAATCTACTGTCACCTGCATATTACATAACCGCAGTTGCTGTAGGTGTAATGTAATCATTTTGTAGACTACTATGAAATTGTTTGTGGGGTATCAATCATTTCTTAATATCAGAAAACATGAATATTATTTACGTCCAACTGAATATTGTATGTTTATCTGAGATCACTTCTTATTCAAACTTGAATATTCTTAGATCATATCAAGGATATACAATACATCTTCCCGTTTATTTCGTGAATATCGACACGTAGTTTGGCCACGAATGAGTCGTCAGGCATTAGCAGTTTTAACTGAACAAGCCAAAGCCTTACTTTTGCGCGTCAAAGTTTTGCAGAAATCTATTGAATATTCCACTTCACAACCTTCAGAAACTTTAGATATCCTGAAGAAAATTCAGTATGTCTCCTTTTTTCCAAGTTCTATCATTCTTATTAATTACATTAGTATTTTAATGAACGAGAATACCAGTGGGGACTACCAAATGTATTTGAGCACAAAATTACAGAATTTCTTAATAAAATCTGAAGACCATACAGTAAACACTTCATTTGCAAAATTTCAGTCATTTGTCTCAGACTTGATTGTTCCTTAGTTTCCACACTAATAACTCGCTGTTCTCGTTCTCTTCGATCTCCTTAACCTTCTCTTGCCAGGCATTTCACTTATGACTGGTGATACACACTACTTACATCTTTCGACATCAGTAGCACACACCACACTATTACTTATGTATCACGACAGTATTTGTCACTCTACAACCCTACCAGGTATTAATATCAATCGATAAACAAATTAGTGATCAGATTAATCAAACCTCCATAAAAAAAACCGCACAACAAGCCAACAGAGGCGAAGATCTAGTACTTGATGAGTAGACAAATAGACGAATATTTACTGCAGTGTTACATCATTTTTATTTTAAAGAAATAACAATCAGTCCACATCTGATTAATCAGGCTTCCCAGGTGTAATAATTATTAAGAGATTGAAATTACACATTCTGTATGTATATATAATTCTGACTTCTGTTCAAGTTGTATTTTAAGGGCTTTATTCGCTCGAGCCTATTGATTTATCGGTTTGGCCTGAAAGTAGAACTAGTAAGTCTATAAGCGATACCATTCTGTTTCATCTGTCGGGGTTCGTATGCGACATTAAGGTATGGAAAGTGTGATTTGTAACAAGTATTATCTGTACGTAACGAAGCTATGACAACTAACAGGTTATTCGGGAGAAATATACATGAACTTTGCTCATCATGACCTTCATAGGACCAATGCACTCGGTCAACAGTGTTGCTAGAAGTTCATTTTATGATCTACATTTCATCTTTTGTGTATCTCATTTCTTTCTTGCAAGGAGCTAATTTAGTTCAATGTATCCCAATTTAACCTTAGCATAGTTTCGAAATTACCATGATCATTATTAACGTTCATGTTACTAATTTATAAACCTACATAGCGTTTCTTTTTTTTATGTATTCAAGAGATATACCACCTGCTGATCAGAGAATTCATCTGTATAATAACTGTTCTTACTCTATGATAAACATGCGACTATCGTTTTGGTTACTTAGCTTTTTATTGCTAGTCACTACCCCATTGTTTTTGCTTATAAACCACTACACTTTCACTGACTCGCAATCGTTTCGACCACAACTGTTATGTACAAAGTATTCGAAATTTTCTAAATATTAAGTCAAATCGGGTAGTTATTGGCTTAGTTGTTTGCTTAAGCACATTTTTCATTTCAGGATCCTATTTATTCTATTAAGAATTATCGCTTCTTTGTCATCTCTTGTTTGTTTCGTCATTTATTCTTTTTATCTTCCTCATATTGTGTCCTTTTGTATTTTTACGTCACCCTATTTTTTCTCATCCTATGTCTAGCTTTTGTTTTGTTTTATTGTACCGTCTGTTAGTAAATTATTTTGCTCTTGTGGTTCTGCTGAGCAAATTATTCGTCTTCATCTAGTTTTATCTTACTGGATAACTTTGATTTTGAATAAGTCGGTGTTTAAAGTGGTTGTTAAGTGATAGCTTAAAGTTGACTTCCAAACAACCAGTTTCAGCTTGTAACTTCCCTCCATTCACTTCGGTTTCGGGCAACAACTTAGTGTCCTTAACCTTCAATAAAACTGTATGGTAAATTCTTGTACGGATTCCTGAACTTGGTTTCTAAGACTCATTCAATAATAATTGTAATAATAACAACAGTAATAATGTGACTCCTGATAAATGGTCGTAAATAATGTACATATTAGACGTAGACTATGTAGGACGTAGCATGAACATATATCATTCTAGATTGTCACATCACATAACAGCTCAACAAAAATGGAAATTAATAACATAAAGTGTAATGGGGGAGATAATATTTACCTCAATGGAGAGCTAAATATAACAAATATAGTTGAAAAGAAAAGAATTTCATTCAATGACGAAAAGTATAAGCTAATGCGAAATCTAAAATATTAAAGAAAATGGTGAATATATAGAACTGTCTTTTTGTGATTAGTTTAGTGTCATATAACCGAACATGTTTAACAATAAATTACGATTATTTCTCATATCTCAACATGAAAACTTACAACTACCGAACGTGTCTTCATGTCTACCAATTCAAATATATTGGTAATGGTTTATTAATGAAATCTATTGAATGCCTTCCATAATATGCTAAGAATTCCTCGTTTTGGTAATACATTTTATCATATTTCTTTCATTTTTTATTATTTAGTATTGAACTTACTAATTCGCGTTGTGTTTTACAAAAAGAGGTGAAAGAATTAGAAACATTGCTTGCTACATATGACAATAAAGACGGCGAATATCATAAATTAGTAAAAAGATATGTTGATTGTCAACAACAATTATCTTTACGTTCTACATTATTACACGATAATGATACTATACAACTTAATCGAAGATCACATAAGAACTTTTCAAGTCGTCGATCATTGAGTGTTGACGTTATAACTCGTAAATAATTAATTTAAAAAGTTTTGTATAGTTTATTTTGAAATTTCGGTAAAATATAATGTTTTGTAATCTTGATGTTTTCTTACTATTTTTCTAGTGTTTAACACTTTTTGTTTGCTGCTGTTCATCTAAGTTATTTATGGGCATTGGATTCATGGGAACTATAGTCTCACATTTAAATCTGGTCCACTTTGGGATAAATGATTGAATAGCATTGAAAATCGTCTCACACACAGTAATTTTAGCCATAAATTCTGTAGTAAAACCATTTTATTTTAGTTAAAATCGCTATATTACGTCAGTATTATTACCTGATGGAAAATACTCACCTTAACTATAATTATTTATACCTTATTCGTCCATACCCTGTATTCTAAAAGCATAATATCATTTTGATACTTTCTTATGTAGTAATATTTATATTTACGGATAGGAAAGACAGAGTAACTGTTACCGTCGCTGTTGTTGCATCTATAATAATAATAATGTTAGGATGATATTCTATTTTCTTTATTGCTATGATAACTTTTTATTTAAATTATGTCTCCATTTGTTACACAAGCATATCGATTGTCTTTATTTTCTTATAATGTATATTTTATTTGGTAGTTAACAATGATGTATTCTGGGAATTTATATAGAGTAAACACTAGTTTTCAGATATGATCAGACTGATACAAATTGCTAGGTAATAGTGAATTTAAGCCTACACTTTTCGAAAGAAAATAATTTCCAGGTTACTTCAAAATGAGCATTTTGAATAAAATTGATAAAATGTGAGACAATAAATGTTATGCAGATTGGAATTCTGAATGAGATGATATGAGAATACGACGTTAGTGATCATTAACACTCCATAGCAAAAATAAATTCAGACGACAAAAGGTTGTCATAAGTATGCAAACTGATTTGGTATTCGAGAATACTGAGCAGGTTGTATGAATGTGTTTTCGTATGGAAAACACTACAGAGTTTCCACAGGAGGTACGTGAAATAGTCCAAGCACTATAAATATCTCGAGATAGTCAAAGTACTACAATGTTAGGAAGTTCAAACCTTTCCGGTTTTAACGATCAAACACAAGTCTTAAAAATCCCAGTTCACTATTACTTCTCAGTATAGCACAGATCAAACTCACCAGCAAATTACTTGTTCATGTATTTTCATCTTTCGACCATAGCTATTATATAGAGGCTTGTGGCGTAGAGTGCTTATCAAACTTATAACTAATGATTGAGGGTTGTGCTTTCAACATCAAGGTGTTGCATTGTATCACATCAAATTTATCTTGCTCTAATAGATTGAATAGCGAAGAATAATGAAGACCAGTAACTTCTTAAGTTCATAGAATTTCAGATTTTATAAAGGACTATACTGTTAAAGCAATACGCAATTAAACCCTGCTAAAATAAATGACTTTATTGCCTTGTATCAATCCCTGCTTTCTTGCTTCTTTGGTCGAGGTCTCCAATTTTTATTACTGCGAGAATAAGACTACGTTTTTATTGATCATAAGCTTTCGGATTCTTTGTCAACGAAGTAAATTGTCTTCTATTAAATTCGCCTGTTGAACAACCATTATACGAATCTGGATGTGAATAATTTTCAATATAAATAAAAATAATATGTAATATCCCAATGAGTAGAAAATTAGATTTTCTGACGTTTCGTGACTTAGTGTAAGTCACTTCTTCAGAGAATAACTAACCAAAGTAAAATTAATCCAAGTTTAAATAGTACAACGGAACAATAGGAATAATATTTGATCAATCAAAAACAGGTCTGAACAAGTTAATGTCATGTCACTTCTGTCAAGGTGATTCATGAGTGATATGTATGTAAATTTGTGTGTATGTATGCATGCATTGTTTAAGAATAGATAGATACTACTTAGTTCAATCAAGTATTAATTTAAGTAATCTGAGTGAACCGATTGACGCTAAACTTAAAATAAGGAACTGGTTATTCGCAAATAATATCATGTTCTAAATTGTCGAGTAGTGTCTCATTGGGTGAAACATTCAAAGGTTTTGGGTTTCGGGCTCAAAATTAATCTCATTCACTTCAGTCTAGATCACTAAATTTTATCTCTGGTTGGGGCATACTATGTATGGCAAAAAGATGACTACTTGGGTATTTACGTAGTTACTGATTTGGTTCTATTTTTTTAGGATGAAATATATTATTCAGTTATTTTAATAAGCCAAATTAGATATAGTTTCAATTGCTTCGATATGTAAATTGAGGTTTTACACGTAAACCGCTTTATTCTAAGAGCTCTTAAATATTGACTTTTGTGTTTTACAGCTAGGGGATCCATTGATTTGTTATGAAATCTCTTATCAGATTCAGTTTAAGTAAATTTTACTCAGTGAATGTTGTTTTATCCTCAACTTGTTATTATTATTATATTATTATTATAAGAAGCTTTATTCAACATTATACTTTTGGTACAACATAGAATTCTCAGCATAAAGTATTTCAACAAGTTTCTTTTTCTTATATCTTGATCGATTGTGACGATAAATTTCGAATGATGACCAGTTAGATGTTAGGAATTCGGTAATCCACATTTGATTAATGTTCATTCGTTTCATTGCATATTGCCAGCCATCATGATGTCGCTGATTGTACCTTTCTGTATCCCATATAGCGAAAGGTTGTAGATTTTTCATAAACGCGCCCGAATAGATTGTGAGCACAATAGACATATTGATGTGCTAAAACAAACAACAAAACAGATAACTTCAAGAAATATCTAGATCGAAGGAACAGGTAGCCCAGATATTCAAGCAGGCCGCCGGTTTTCTGGTGATGTTTTCGAATTCACCGCTTATAATGGATAATTATGTAACTGATTAATTTATCGAACTTTATTCAGTTTATATTGTTTTTGATTTCTAATATGAATTTTTATCCTTCAGCAGATTCATTTAAACATACACCTTTATATATATATATGATGATTGTGCAGCTTGATAATAAATTCGTTGAAAAGAGATTCTTTCGCTGAACTTCGTGTTTTTTAATGTTTAAATTGTGACTGCCTGTCGTTCTAAATTAATGGACATATGAAAGCAGCACTTCTTGTCTCAAGACTTTTTACCATTACACATCCACTAAGTCCTTTATAGCTTGGTTTTGTTTTTTGGCCTTCGATGATAATTTGATGATGAGCCGATAAATAGTGTTCATTTATGGTCCTTCGTTGGTTAGTTACAATACTCCATTACTAACTACATATTAATCTTTTTCTTTATTGAACTATGTATGAAATAAATTAGTCGATAGTTTATTGTACCATTGTATTAATATATACATATTTAATAGGTGGATAATGGCATTTAGAAGAGAAACATGAATTCTTAGTTAAATGCTAGATATATTCATATTGGATCCTAACTAACTGTATTTGATCGATTAGCTATTTCTTTGTTATTTTAAATTGCTTGTGTCCTCATAATATATCTCTTTTATTGTCATGTTTAGAATACGTCCTCCATGTGAGTCGACTATTGAATGGATGAACTTACAGATGCAGAACATTTACGAATTGAACAAAACCGAAAACGTGCCTTAGAACTTAGACTTTCACAAGTTGTGGCAAATGATCGGTATGTATCAAACTAACTGAATCGTATGCTTTTTATAAAGATATATAATACAGCAACTAATAGCAACATATAATTCATTTCTTAAAACTGGCTTTATGATTGTTCCATAGATGGTAAAAAAGCTTAACTATTCCAATAGCTGATTAATGTTTCGTTCTGTATGTATCATGATTATTCTGTTATACTTCACTATTATTAAATTCATATGGAGAAAACCGAGTAATAGAACGTCTTGTCGACACTCTTCACGATTGATAGACATACTTTTAGATGGGGTATAATTCGTTATTGTAGATAAAAACATATTTGCATTGTTTTTCGTCATAATTTGTCCCGTAACTAAGGTACTGTCAAAGTACTTAATAGTTTAAGCTATTGCAATGGTTTATTATATATGGTTACATGATGCAATGTAATCCAATAGGTATATTCACTATTATTATCCGTGTTTGTATACGTTTTAAACATACGGGCAGTTTCATTTTTGTGAATCTACTTTTTTTAAACATACATTACATGAAAATCGTTTTGTAAACGTGGAGTACACAGATAAAATGATCTTTTTAGGCATGACTGACATGGTATGTAGTTTTATAAAATCGTGTAAACAATTTAGGGGTGTTTGATATGTATTCTATATCTATCTACAAAATGTTCTACTGATCTTTCATTATTGTTGTATTATAAATATCTTAATAGACCATAATATAGAGAGCTTTTTTCTTAACCTATGAGCTCTTATAACCGGTAAACTTTTCATTGACTGCTATTTTCTCAATATTTGTTATTATTACACATATACAAAGTATGAAATGGTGCAAGAAGATTGAAAACATCTCGAAAATTCCAAGAATCTCATATTTATTATCTTTGTCTCCTCTTACCCTCCATTTCTAGCCTAGTTGACCTTTTATTTTTACATATAAATGTTCTTAACAAGTATATGTGTGATTACATTGTTCGAAATGTATTGCGTTAATATACCACATAGTTCTGATAATCTTCGTCTTCTTAATACACTATCGCAATCCTATATTTATTAAATTACTAGTTACTGTTTATTACAGTTTTAGAGAATATTTGTTTTAAATAATTAGAATGACAATTGATTGGTGTTCTCCAAGTTCTATTTTCAGTCTTAAGTGTTTTATCAAGTAACAATTTTGTTTTTATGATACTATTAGTGCTATGCATGAAACCAAATGAAATACACTTATCAAGATTGATAAGTTTACTAGCTATTCGTGTTGTCTAACTATTCTATTGTATATTAATTCCTTTACTGTTACAAACTAAACATATATATTCTTTACTGGTGTTAGTTACTGCATTATTTTTTTTCAAGTCATGATGTTTATGCATCAGTCCCACAATCAAAACTGAATACAAAATACTTAAGTGATGGTGGTTTTATTTTTGAAGAGGAAACTTCTAATCATAATTATCCTTATACAGAAAAAGATGAAGAATTTTCAGATCCAGAATTAAATGCAACTGTTAAACCTAAAAAACGCAAACCAAAGTGTATAAAACAATCAAACGCTGAGTCGAATCTCCTCATAACTGAATCCAATGTACCTATTCCCCTGATCAAGAAAAACCAACTTGTGATTTATGCCATAAACTGTTTGAAGAATCATTTTTACGCAAAACATTTGAAGTAGATGTTTGTGATAAATGTCGGTAAGTTGATATATTTAAGTTAAACAATGTCAACAAGTTAACTTTAATGAATTCCTTTTCCGATTATTTATTTTCCTTGAGTTTACGATTTTATGCTTATAAACATATTTCGCATAACAAAATCGCATTCTATGCAACAAAATAAGCAACAAACGGTCTATCAGAGGACAAGACGATCAGTTCTATTTGGCTCATTGGATAATTAATGATAAATTGCGTTAATCAATAAATAGAAGAATAGCTTTCAATCTGTCAATAAAATACAAACTATGGATCGGTCCGATGGAATAAGTTATTAATAAGCGAATATTACACTTAGGATAACCTTGTACAAACGTCACTGTAACATTAAAGTTGTCTCGAGAAAAGTCCTACAAAGGATGTAAAATATATTTATCCTGATAGAGTGTAAGTTGTGTTTTGGTGCATGTTTAGTAAAAGAATAACTAATGGTTGGGAACGTTCATCGACTATCAAAGATGTACTAATTGTTATTTCGTTATGGCCTGTTGATTTATCATGTTATAAGATCGCCAATTTGGAACACAGACCAATGACGCATAAACCAGTATGAGCAGCCTATAGTCAAATCTGAGTTCTTATTGGTCCTTTGAGATAGGAGCTTCTGGTTCAGTTCAAAACACCAATATCAACCTCCGTCATATGAATCCTATGTTTCAGACACACTCAGATTATATACAAGCAAATCAGACCACATCATACCATAAAATATAAAATAAAATTTATACAAGATTAGGCCAAAAATGGCTGTGAATGTGAGATACTGTAACTAATAAATTGGTGAATAACTTGAGAATAGTAAATCGAATAATAATAGTCAGTAGGTCAAATGGAAGCTTATAATGAAAGGAATATGAATATACATATAATACAGTTACTTAATAGTTATACAATAAGAATATATATAATAACAGTTCATAAATAGATCCTAACAGTTACCATTCACTTATACTTCGTCTGGGCATAACACGAATAATGTAATCTTAGATATTTGTTCAATTTTCCTATCAACTTATACTCGATTGCTACATTTTCTGAGTTCAAAGTTAATACGATCTTTTTTACGAAACCTGTTTAAGGCATCAATTGTATATTCACTTAACTAATGGCAAGGGGCTAATGATAGACAATATTAAAGTGACTATGAACCATAAAAAGAATAAAAACATTAACAAATACAATCCACTTTAGAATACAGCTAAGATATATTTTATTCTTTTTAAGTCACACCTTACTGAGAAATAAATTGCAAGAACACTGATATACTTATGTTCATTCTAAACCATTTATGATAACGTTACAAGCCAGTAATAGTTACATTATGCAGGACCCCATCCAGGAAGGTTATTTCAATAACTAATTACTTACTTACGTCTGTTACTCTTCGTGGAGGAGCCTAGGCCTCCCATAAGGATTTCGATAACTAATATTGGCCTAATATAGCAATATTTACTTAATATTATCAAGTGGTTTTCTATATCTTCTACTAGCTCTCATTAGGTAACATGTAGGGCTAACACTATATGTTGACCGTCAAAATCAAAAGTTTATTACTGAGAAAGATAAACAATTAATTAAATGTGTAATAGTTTTACACGGTTTATAAGCCTTGCGAGGCATGTAGTCTTTTTTGTTCCCCTAAAGTAAACTACTTTTTCTATTCAAAGTATTAGTGCTCAGTTTCCTTAAAATGTCGAAGAAGAAACGTTACTAGACACCTACCTAAAAACATATTGAAACTTATAACTTTTTGAGTAAATTGTGCAAACAAACCCTCTAGCTACTCACTGAATTAATAGTGACTTAGTTGAGAGTTTACTCTGAACAAATAAACGGAACTGATTCTTACCATATTATTGTGTTTAGGGTAGAATATACAGCATAATGAGTTAGAGTTTCATGTACTTTTGCTCTCATACTGTTCGTTTTGCTGTTTTATGAAATAACATATGTTTTATTGTCAAATCTTAGTCACTGAAACGCTAAATAAGTTTCTTCTCCACCAAGTTATTTATGGGACATACCTTGTGTTATATTCTAGTGAAGATTAAATTACGAGTACCTTCTGAGACCTATTAATGGACTAATATTATTTATATATTCTTATGGTAGAAATATTCAGCAACTAGACTGTGTATATCTATATTCCTCTTATTATTAGCTTCGTTTTGACCTATGGATTATTATTGTACGACTTACTGTTCCTAAGTTATACTCAGTTTATTAATTACTGTCTCCCACGTTCATAGCCACTTTTGGCTATATTTTGTACGAATGTTATTTCCTATTTTATGGTGCGTTGCTGTCTGTTTGGTTAATATATAAACCCAGTATGTTTGAAATATATGATTCACATAGTGCAGGCTGTTGTTGGCATTCTGGACTCAATTGGACGGGCTAGGCGAGCAACGGACCAATAGGACACTGGGCTGATCAGACCGGCCAGACGTCATTGGTTTAGTGCAGTATAAGAGCGAATAAGTCGTATTTTGATTTGCGAATAGATTACGTGATAACTAACAGACCATCAAGTCACAACACCTTGTGTATTATTAACTTCCGAATTCCCGGGAAGGTGACTAAAACGTGCCATCTTGATTCCAATTGACCCGGCTGTATGATATATTTGCATCTGATCTACTTTTGAATATCGAGTAATGTATGCTATAATTTGCAATATATGTTGACAATCGATTTATTACTCCTCATGAATCTCTACTGAATAGATATCGGAAGGTTAAAACGACTGATCGGTTATTTTATCTACCAATTCTGTGACACAAACAAATATCAATCATAGTTAATTTAAATATAACTAGTTGTGAAATATGAATGTTTGAATATTACTGATGGTTTTGTCTTTTAGATTGTAATATCAGAGTAACTTCTAACTATTATTTGCTTCAGTTATTTTTTTAATTCAATTTATTATTTAGTCTCATACTTTCTTCTATATTTTTGTCTAGAGATCCTAAAAATATTCATGCTTTAATTACTAAAAGTTCAGCAAAAGAACGTTATTTACTAAATGATGTTGATTTAGACATACGTGAACCGAAATTGAACTATTTGTTGAAACGTAATCCGCACAATTCAAGTTGGGGGGATATGAGGCTGTATTTGGAAGCACAAGTAACAATAACTGTTTTAGAAACTTGTTATTCTATTTATCATTGGTTTTTTTATATTTTTATTCGTATGTTAAAATGTTACTGGATCTCAACCATTATTAGTAACATTGTGCATCATATTCTGCATTTTAATGGAGGTATACAATTGAAGATGTTTGTAAAATAAAAGACTATCTGATAAGATTCTTCAATTTTCTACTAATAGTGTTTTTGTAAAGATGAGTAGTAATAATTAGCTTCTTCGATAAGACTTTCTTTTGATTGGGAGTGTAGCCTATTTCAGTATTCAATAGATCACAACATTTATTGATCTTTTATTTTGTCGTTAAATTTTAACATGGACCTCTATGAGTTTGCTCCCAGATTATAACTGGCGAAGAGCTATTAGACAAGGAATAGATGGATATTCAATAATCCTTGACTGTCAGTGATTCACTAGTGGAATATAATTTATGGTCATAGAAATCTCCAAATTAATTAATTCTTAATGTAAACATCTGATTGAAAAAATGTCAATATCTGAACAACAACTTCATTTAATTTTTATGTAAATTTTACCAATAAAAGGATCTAGGCCTTGAAATACCCATTCATCATATAAAAATTATCAGGCCTTTTAAGTGCTCCCAATTGCCCTGATACGGCTGAGGGTGGGGAGAGTTAGATATCCCTCTCGAAATGCTCTCACATGGCCACGTGTATACAGCCACTGGCAGGACAGTCCTCACTGCCTTCTCGCGGCTGGGTTGTTGTTTATGGAAATGAGAGGACAAAAGGCGAGTGTCCGGCGCTTTAATCAGGTTGGTAGACATAGAGCGTTCACCTAGGGGAGTTAGAAAACCCTTATTCCGGACCAATGGTGAGCATGTACTCCAGGATCGTGAAGGGACAAATGGCGTATGAACCATTTATTGGTCACCGGGCACCATGGGACTGCATCTCATTACGTTGCTCTACTGCCTTGTGTATTAGACCTATAGATCGAAGGCTCCGGGTGTGGCCCCCTACGAAAACCACCTGCTTCGGTCTGAACACTCGGGCAGTATCACAGGCCATACACAAATCAAGCGACTTGTATGGTGCATATGTATTCGGTACCCCTTTGTACCAATATTTATATGTTTAAATAAATAATTAATTAATATAGGGCTTTTAAGTTATGGGTTTTATGAAATCACTATCAAAGTTTTGTTTAGCAACATGTCGCTTCTCAAATAAAAATATTAATGACTATTGTTAAATTCCTAATTTATATATCCGTTTACCACAGGACGGATCTATTCCATGTTCTGCCTTTTGACTTCCATCGTTTTGTGTAGTTATGTGATTTTCTAACAATATTTGTCTGACCAATGAGCAATTTAATCCCAATCCACCTCAATCGTTTGATACCTCAGATTGTTGTAAAATAATGAATTTTGTCATTAGAAAATAGATTATGAGTATTATTAAAAGTATCTTACTTTCTATTTTCCGTAAACTTCAGATTGCTGAACGTGCTCTAGAAATCTGGGGTAGTGAAGATGCATTAGAAAAAGAACGTGAAAAGCGCCTTAAGCGCAATGAAGAATCGAAACTTAAAAATTATAGTAAAAAGGTTAAAGGTAAGTATTAGGGATTCCCAATTCATGTAAACTATACTCATTAATTCGTTGGAAATACATTGAGATAATTAGTCATGGAGTAGTCACTAGTTTGAGATGATGGAGAAGATTTGTAGCCCAGGTAAATGATTTTGATGAAGTTTTGTTCTCTGGGCTGGATGTTTTGGTTGTAGAGCTTCCATTGTTCTTTTGAATGACATCACCAGCACAAACTTCATGTAGAAGTAAGGTGTTTGGATTTCTCCACATATGACTCCTTGTCCTGTAGACCTCGATCTTAATCGGTTATTGTTGGCCTTTAACCTGTCATTGTTTACTTCTTTATCTTGATTGCATCTCACAATGATATGATTCCTGTCCATGATTTCTCTGATTGGTTAATAAATTGGGACGATTTCAATGTGTGTGTTGATTGCTGATTGACCTGAGTGCCAAGCTTCTAAAAATTCTGGTGTTTTTAGAATTCCGTCTATCCAAGATCTTAACATTTTCCAGTCGAATATATGTCCACATGCATCCATATAACTGAGAATACGTAATGTCGTTTGACCGCTAATTGATGTTCATGCAGACGAAGATGAAGAAGGCGTCCGCAGTGTCCGATATAGTGTTTTTCGCAGTTAGAACAATTTATTATGCAGATGATGTTCGGTTTTTCTTCTTTTGTCATTTCTTCCTTTGGTTCGCATAGGATTGATTGAAGTGATTTTGTTGGTTTGTGATAAGATGGAAAGAAACGCCGAAATTCGATTGATTTAATAATTATGAGCTTTGTTCAACATTACTTCCTTTCTAATTCAATGTAATGATTACTTAGTGTAGAATTTCTTTTCTTTTCTCGCACGATATATTATTCTGCGTAATATACGATATTCTTGTATTTAATTGACATATAATATCCTGAAATATTTACATATACTTATAAGATTTATTGTATTTATCATTACAATTACTTTATCTCAATCATTGTATCAGTTATTCACAATTCGTGTATTTGTTTAACCGTCGTTTAGACGCAACGGTTTCCATATTGTTCTCTCTTGGGTCGGCTTTTGCTTGTTGATAAACTGTTAGCAACTGTAGACACAGCTAACAACTGTCTTTTGCACCATTGAAGCCCTTTTTTATTTCAGATAAAAGGACGTGGTAAACACTGTAGACACCTCACAATTTGAGAACTGCTATTTTAGACAAAATCGTTACTTTGCGAACTTCGATTTTGTGCGAATCTCAATCGCGTGAATTGGACGCTTCGATAGACTTAACAGTTCTCAACTTTTGTTCAAATTGGTTCGAATCTTCTGAGTGACGAACTCGGGTCGAAATTCGCTTCTGTTAGTTTGGCCTAACGATGGCAAGGCCCAGGGAAGTGAAGTACAATACCAACAGCTCAGATGAAACAGATAATTTAATTGCTGAAAATATTGTTCCCTCAACCTCTAAGGTGAACTCATCTACTTCAAATGTTGTTTTCGATAATGTAAAACCTAGCCTCGAAGATAACTGCCTCTTATTAGACACCTATTGGAATATGTGCAGCACACAAACCAACAAAATCACTTCAATCACTCCTATGAAAACCAAAGGAAGAAATGACAAAAGAAGAAAAACCAACTATCATCTACGATGTAAATTGTTTCAATAAAAATATGCAAACATGCCTCATTTAAATCACCTTAGCTGGAATGATGTGAGATTGATTTGGTTATACCTTTTTTCGATTGATCTCACTGAATATTCTTTCTTTGTACGATTGAACCACGGTTTAATTTAACTTGTTTATTTATTCTATGGATAATCGGTTTAAATTGATTCACGAAACTTAAGAAAATTTGGACTTTAATTCTTCTACTCATTGAGGTATCACAAATAAATTATTTTTATTTATAACAATTTACGCAATACTCAATTTATTTGATATTATTAAGTCAAACCTTAGTAATGACACTTATCTACTCATTATGGTTACTTTGTAGATGTTTTTAAGCGAAGAGTAATAAGATAACTTGCATCATTTCGGAACATTATTTTCTTACAAACACCAGCATCTTTTATGTAGTCCTTTCTGAAAGTCGCTGTACGATCAATTCTTATCATAAGTCTTTATATCTATCCAGCGCATGTGATTGGTTTTTATTAAGGACTTTAGGTGTTTACTACAAAACGTTTGCTCTTTTCATTTCAGAACTGAAGCTTCAGACACGCAGTAGCTTATATACGAGAGTGCATAAATCTCATGAACATGTGTTCGGGCCGGAGAAATATGATTCTAAGTCAGATATTTACTATAAATGCTGTATTGAATGTGATTACAAATCAACTTATGAAAAATTGTGATTATTGCACTGTTACTAACCCATCGCATTTATTTTATAAAAGGTGTCAAAACAATAAGTGTCTTTTTTGAAATGCTTTAATTAATGTTGATGTGAATAAAATAATAATACTTAAAAGCGTCAGAGATTTGTCACTGTACATGTTTCTGGGATGCCACTTTACAAGGCAGGGTAGTATTTGTGACAAAATAAAAATGGAAATCAGGATTCTGGAACTTATACCACATTGACAGATACAAAAGCCTACAGGTGACTTTTCGCAAACCCCCGTTTCGAGCAAGTACCGCAACTAGACTTCCTGCTTCTAAGGTACAAAAGCATTCACGCTTATTTCTGCCACTCATTTTCACGACATTGTGCTGCATAACACCTTTCCAATTATGCCTGTTGGAGCTAACTCCTCTCGAACATAATTCTATACATATGCCTCTGATCCTATAAAGAGTCACTTACCTGGTGCTCAAAAGACGAGTCCACATTCATGTCTAAAATTGATGCTCGACTTAAAATGATCATGGTCTACATAAGTGCAGAAGACGGTTACCATGACTGCTCACTTTCTACTTGGCGTTCCTCCCTCTTATATTGAAGCCTGAAATCAAATTGACCATGTGATATGGTAGGAAAGCCCAGGTGTGATCGGTCTGTACGATGGCACTGTCATGGAAACTGGCATTATGATATTGCCATCACGACTCTCAGGTTGGGATTCTGAAGATTGTGAGACCCAGTGGCTTGGAACGTTATCATATATTGCTAAAAATTTGGGCTAGTGATGATTTTGTTGTAGCTTCCTATTACATTGTTCACAAAAGTGAGATGACCTCTTAAATGAAACTCTTGTGTTTACTTTTAACTGGACTGAAGCTCATTAAGTACTCTACCTATCCATTTATTGATTGATTGTATGAAACTTTCCTCTCCACATTACCGTTACTTTATTCGTGTGGTGCATTTTGTTGGTACGCAAGTGTGCCCAAATCTATCTGCTTTAATTAATTGATTTAATGTATATTTGCTATTTGAAGTCAACTGAATAACCACACTTGGTTCTTGTATGCGAGTTTCAGTGATAACTTATAAGGTTATCACGTAACTTAAGGTTCTTGGATAGTGAAGCCTGTTTTGTTTTATACATTCAGTACACTAAAAGCGTATGCAGTATTCTTCTGATTCTGTTTGTTTACATGCTTTTTATTATATTTCTGTAATGGTTCTGTTTGTGTTTTCGGTGAGAAGATGGCCATAATACCTGGATACGTTGAATGGTCGATCCGTCTTTTGCCCTAATCGTTAAAGGTGACTTCAACATTAGCTGGTGAGTTCCACCATTCCCGTCCAACACAAGTGGGCTCCCTATCATTCGACAAAGATCAGGAACGGTAATCTACACTACTTCGTACAAATTATCAGCTTCGTCGCTAGAGAACGTATGATGGTGTATGTGAGTAATAAAATGTAATCGAAGAATTACAGATATTAATACTGTCAGTGGGTTGTAAAACTTATATACAAGCTAGCTTGTATGTATAAAACTAAGAGCAAGAAACTGTAACATCCGAATATATCGCTCATTCGTAAAACATTATGACCGATGCTTATAACGACATTAACTGAACTCCGAAATGCAGTTAGTAGTACAGCTATTTGTCGGTCTAGTCTTTTAAAGGTTCTGAGATAAACTCAGCTTTTTTATAAAACTCCCACATTCTTGAATTGATTTACTGAAAACGACGTAAAATACAATTAATACACTTTCTCCCAGGCAGTGGGATAAATCAGTTTTACTTGCTTACTTATACTTACAGGAACATAAATAAACAATAAATATGGAAAATAATGAGAGATTGTCACACATACATCCTTGTAACTGCCGTTTTCTCTGCTCTCCTGTTATTGCTTGTTCTCAGTTTCGACGGTTGAAAGACCGATTGTGCAGTTTGTGTTCCGAATTTCGATCGTCGGCATAACGACTTTTCAACAAAAGCTCTAGCGGTTAAAAGCGACCCTTATAATTCTTGAATATCAGTTCGTGCTCATCCTTAGATGATCTCGAACTAATTCTTGTTCTTTGAACCTAGGAGAGGCAATGTTATTTTTCTACCTTTAAGATGGGCCCAAATGCAACTGTTGGTAACTATTTGGAAATGTTCTCCATCAGACTGGTTCAAAAACCATTTCAAATTTACTGATTCGAGACTAATTATAAAGGCATTTTTATCACAGTTCTCATATTAGGAAACCAAAACACTTGTATTTTAACTGGAGAAACCTTTTAGAATCATTAATTAATTTGTCAGTGTAGTTCCTAGCACGATGGAAACGGAATACTTGGTTCTTTGAAAAGCTGGAATTACGTTCATCATTCTGTGCACAATTTTAACGACGAATCCCATCGTCATAGAGTGTTAGCCCGTAATTCTTCCTAAAAACCTCTCTTTAAGTGTTTGGGTCTCTTCTAACGAGATGTTATTAATTTTGATCAAAGGGGATCATATGTTGTATAATAGTAATTTTCTATTTTGAGTAGAGTTAGCGTAGTATGTAGTTTCCTGACTCGCTGAATATCAGAGGGAGTGCCCTAAATAACTAGGTAAAGCGTAGTTCGTTGAGAGTGCCTAAACGAGCACTGACAACACCAGTAAGTACTTACATATCTTTTAATATGGTCAAATAATCCATTACCACAGTCCAGACCCCTAAGTTAAGATGACTTTCTAACGTATTTTGAGATAATTAATTGACGGGAAGTTTAGTCCTAATGTGATTTGCATTTGTCAAACTTTTGCTGTGTTCTTACGCAACGAAAGTAACATTTCAGTTCTCAAAAGTCTATCCTGATCTATACGTCCGGTGTATTACTTTTTTTGAGTTTCACCATATTTAATAGTTACCTGTGGTTTTGCCTCAGCTTACTATTCGGTTTTTTTTGTTCTTCTTGTATAGACTAGTTTCAGTTTATATCACTCGTTTTATCCATTTTTGTCCGTTTTCAGTGTGCTTTTTAGTGTTTTTTAAAGGTCTTAGGCTTTTGCAAGCATCTATAACATAGTTTGCTTCAACATAGTCATGAAAAACTCATGCAAACGTCCGGGATGCCGTTTTGCTGTTACAACTGGCATGCAGTGCGACAACTGCAAAGGTTGGTTCCACGAAGCATGCACAGATCTGACAGCAACTGCTTACAACAGACTCAGCAAGTCAGACCAAAAGTGGGTATGTGTCACGTGCAGCACGGACGCTGTAGTCTTGCTGAGTAACATCATTGTCCTACTGACAGGTCTTCGGAACAAGTTGTCAGTTAACTTGGATAACGATAGTAAAAAAACCGGTAGACAAACAAGAGCGTGCGACGGACTCAAAAATAGGGATGTCGACAGGTATACCATCGATGGAGCATCCATCAACACTAATGACGACGTGTCGAGGCTCAGCACCATCATTACGTCGACGGTACTAGACTCCCTAAGCAAACTCGGGTCTCCCAGCTCAGGGTCCCTGGACACAACAGTGGTTCCCAAAAACCCTGTAGGTGATTCGACCCACGTTAAGAGAGCCCAAAAGAACCAGGCATCACCGCCTAAGCCGAGCAACCCAAGTGTTGCTGCACGGAAAATAACTGGTGATTTGGTCGCACAGTCTACCCCCAAGACTGTTCGTCCGGTCAATAAAGAGCCCAAGATTCAAAAACGCACACTGACCTCCAAACAACAAGTTATTAAACCTGAACCCATCGTGAAACCTGGTAAATTAACAACAGTTCGTGACGATTCTCTCATTATCATGAACCTCGTTGACAATCCTGACCTTCCTCTCAGTCTGCAGGACAAAAACGACAGGATGCTCTGGGGTGAATTGAACAAGAAGCTCGAACTTCCTAGAATAGAGCCTTTGACGGTCACCCGGCTCACTCGAGGAAAGGATTCTAAGCATCTAAATCACCCGAGGCTTCTCCGAGTAACACTTAAGAATGCTACCGACGTAGAGGACGTCTTGCTAGCAAGTCACTTGCTGAAATCAGATGGTAACGTAAGAATATTGCCCGACATACCGTACTCTGAGCGCAATATCATACGAAACATCCCTAAAGAATCTCGCGAGAAGTTTTTCCGCGGAAGAAACATAATTGTCAAGGTATACCGGAAAATGCAGACCCTACTCAATCAAATTCTGACATCAGGGAATGGAAATTCATCAGACAGTCCTTGAGGCTCAAACACATACTGACTCAGCATGTGACGAGACTAGCCAAGAAGGACGGTGATCTTAGACCCGTCTAATGAAGATAACCTTCCCATCTTCCCACATGGCGGCTGCAGTTCTGGAAGCATTTCGTGCCAACAGACGTCGATTGCCACCTGGAATCCACATGCACCCGGATAGGCCATACGAAGCTAGGACCAAGAACAAAGGCAAGTTGGAGCTGACCATTCCACTTGTGGACTGTCTAAACGATAAAAAAACGTGTAAAGGACAGGGCCTACCACCTCGGCAAACCTCATATAGGTGGGCTACCTGTCCATTCACATAAGGTTCATACAGAAAAACAGGACGAAGCTCACGCGTTCCAAATTGAAAGCATAAACTGCTTATATATGAACGCCGCGAGTCTACCAAACAAACTGGATGAACTACGTGAACTTAGCAACGCTAATAAGGCCCATCTGATAGGAATATCTGAAACCTGGATATCTTCTCAGTTCTCGGACCAAGAGTTAGCATTACCTGGGATGACTTTGTTCCGCAACGACAGAAAAACAGGAATTGGGGGCGGAGTAGCCATATACATAAGCTCTTGCTTGGAGGTGCACCAAGTTCACAACCTCGAGTTTAACAATCTTGAGGAATCCATATGGTGCTCTGTAAGATTGTCTAGTACTTCGAGGTGTCTAGTCGGAGTCATTTACAGGAAGCCAACTGCCGACATCGAGTACGATAGTCGTATGCTGGAAGGACTATCCCGCTCTATCCGTCTCGGTTTCACACACATCCTGATTCTAG